ACAGGTAATCTGGCGAACGGCTGGTCCGATTTTCATGAAATTTTGTATATAATTGCATTCAGCAACCACCATATTTTAGGTAAAAAAAATTTACTTTTTTCCGGTAGGTGGACCAGTGACCGATCTATTTGAAAAAAATCTTATTATGGTCCGACCGACCAATTGCCTTGTTTGTTGCCAGCAGCGTTTCTTTTTCTTTGCCCTAAGTACTGCCGGCGAGCGACTTGAGGACCTTGTTACGGCTCTGTACTTTGTTGATAACTGTGGTTGTGTGCGTGGAGTAGAGCAGACTATCAAAGGTGACCCCTAAAACTTTCGAGTTGTTTACTGTCGGTATTGGTGTGCTGCCTAATTCTAGCCTGACCTCCTTCGCCCAGGTGGTGAGAGGGTCTCCGTTGATTTCGTTGGGGAGAGTGTTAGGCTTCTTGCAGTGAATAAGCGAGAAAGGCTGAGAAAGGCTGAGAAAGGCTGAGAAAGGCAGAGATCATCAATTCCATTCCCAGACGACATATCGAGCAGTCGTCGGCGTACGACATCAGGGAAAACCACTCAGGTGGCTGGGGGAGCTTTGATATATAGAAGTTGAACAGTAAGGGGGAGAGGACATCACCTTGTGGTACCCCTTGTTTCATTCTTACTGACGACTCTCGACCACTCATATAATTCGCCGACCATCGATTGAGTCCCTGTGGGAGTGAGGAGGCCTTCTAGCCAAGTTGTATGGCAGACATGCTGATGCTTCGTTGAGGTCAGGTGGTAGGTGAAGTATGGGAGTAGCAGGGCCTCTAGTGTCTTCACGACCGGGGAAAGGAGCGTTTTCGGGCGATAAGAGTCTCTTTTGTTGGCGGGTTTCCCCGGTTTTAGCAGTGGGACCACTCTCTTTCACACACTTTCAGCATCAGCATGCAGATTCCGTCGGGTCCAATGGCTTCGGAGGCCTCACTTCGCCGCTGGTGAAAACAAGTGGTGCACAATTTTTAGGCAGTTTGTGCAGCGCCCCTGTCACTCGATGCTTGGCCTTAACTATCGAGGGCTGCAGTCTGAATTGCCGACTAAAGTAGTTTGCGCATTTCTTCGGGACGGACGAAGCGCGACCTTGAAATGAGGTTTCCACTCTGTCATCACGCTTCGTCGAGTTGGACAAGGACCTCACGGTTGACCATAGCTTACTCACACCAGAGGCGAAGTTACAGGCCTTCAAGTGCTCTTCCCACTTTTTTCGCTTGTGCTGATTTACCAATTGCCGAATTCAAATTAAGGTCCTTCAAGCGAGGATCACCGGGATCGACCTGGCGTCGAGGTGGTCACGCTCATTTGCTAGTACAGCTGATTCAGCCGGGAAATTTAGCCAGGCTTGAGTGCCAAAGATCGTTGTGCGCGTTGAAGTCACCTACTACCATTCGGTTGTCACCTCTGAGTAGCGCACCTATGTCAGTCTGATATCCTGCCGAGCAGCAGGTGACAGGGGGTATATACACGTTAAATATTTCGAGCTCGACATCGCCTGAGTTGTTGTACAACTTCGTTTCTTGGACCAGAGCTATCAATATGCCATACCGACCCATAAAGACTGCTATCTCTTCAATCTTGCTCTGGAGTCCGTTGAAGTTCAGTTGTAAGAGTTTCGTATGCCTTGCGAGGCTGGTCGCGATACGGGAGGTGAAGAACGTGTGGGGTCTACCTTGGGCCGGTTGCTGTTGCTGCCTTGCGGTGGGTGGCTGCAGTGGGTGCGATGTTGTTTGCGCCGACAGTGCTCTACAGCAGGGGGTGCTGTAGTTCGTTGTCCACTCGCGTGTGGGGCGTAGGCCGGAGCATAGACGGAAGTGGCACCAGCCAAGGTATGTATTGCATTTGACTGATGTCACGTTCCGGTATACTCTGTTCTGGCAAACGGAACAGATGGTTTGGACACCCAGGAGCTGCTGGCTGGCTCGCACACGCGAGTTGGAGCGGCCGGTAGATTGTTGTGAGGATTGAGAGGGTGCGGAGGTTTGCTGTTGCTCAGAGGAGCTTCTAGGAGCCTTTCAGGCTCTTCGGGTGCTGGCTCGTACATGCGCGTTGCGCGAGCGGGTAGCCGAGGAGGCTGGTGGTGCTATTTGGCTTGAGCAACAGGGGCCACAAAGCGTGTGGTCCACTCCTGGTGAGACCTAAGACCAGAACAGGTTGTTAGGAGACTCCATCCGTTGCTTGAGTTGCACCTAACCGAAATGGAGTTCGGATGGAGTCAATTCTGGCAAACGCAGCAGAAGTATGTTACTGGTCCAGGGTTGGGCTCAACACTCGTCCGGAGAAGAAGAATGCGGAGCAATCCTGCTGCAAGGTATTGCTCCATGGACGTAAAATGATTGAAGGGTATCGCCGATCTAAACGGGGTTAGGTCGCCGAACAGCCCTTGGTCGGGTAAAACCCGAGTCATTAGGCACGTAGAGCTGGCTGTCGTGGGAATGCTTCATGTTCGTTTTCATCTTCGTATTCATTTTTAATATATATGTAGATGTATGCAACTCCGTGGTATTAATTGCAAGTTCGAATACATATGTAACTTTCCAAACTTTCTCTTTTGACACCTCTGAAATACTTAGTATGTATATATTTTCAGTATCGCTGGTGGAACAGTCTTTTCAAGCGATGCATATGTTACACATCGCTGACTTTCGAGTGAAAAGCCGCCCTGCTGTGGAACCTCGTGCTAAATGAATTCCTGCTCCGCACATCGAAAGCCGCTACGGTCGTTGCTTATGCGGATGACTAAGTTATTCTGGTCGTGGGGAAATTCCTCTCCACGGGCAGAAAGAAACGGACTAGGAGTTAATCCAACTAAAACCGAACTTGTTCTCTTCACCAAATCTTGAATTGTCAAGAGAAGCAAAGTTTTTGGAGGTTATTCTCGACTTTAAGCTTTCTTGGAAAAGGAACACCGAAGAGCGGAGAAATAAGGCGCTCAATGCGCTGTACTCCACATATAACAATAATACTAGATTGGCGCTTACACATATGTTAGTTTTGGCCGAGCTTTTCCTCCGAATTGTGGCGTGCGCCTTGATGTTGTCACACAAAGAGGAGGGACCTACAGTTTTACGCCGACTACGAACGGCGATTGTATTTTTATGAGAAGCTGTTTTTCATGGCAGAAATACACTCGGAGGTTTGCCATTGCCTGCCGAGGGGCGACCGCTGTTAAGAAAAAACCTTTTTTCTATATTTTTGCGCTGTTGCTTTGACCAGGGACTGAACCCAGGCCCTGCGGAGTGGAAGCCCACACTGCTTACCACTACACCACAGCGGCATTACCATAGTTTAAATTGAGTTTGATTTTTCCAAACCATTTTGGTTGATACCCATATTGCAATAACTCATTTAACTTTTTAAATAATTTTAATAACTCTTATTTTTGAAAGGGTGACAACTAAATATATACGAAAAACTAAACCAGGCCAAGCTCTTTAATTTGACACCTCATTTTTGAAAATCGAATGAACGGTGCAGATCTGATGACCTGGACGAAAGATTTCTTCGCGTATTAAATATATAGATTATAAATAATATATACATTTAGCTGGCAATCTTCGTTGAAATATTTCTGTTTAAAAGCTATTTCAGTCTTCTTTCCTTTGGTACCAAATGTGTTTGATTTGGATAAGCGGTTTGTTTATTATTCGAAAAGACTTTTATTTCGGACTTAAAAAATAGTTGGTCAAGTTTAACTTTTATTGCTGGACTTAAAAAGTAAAAGTCCGGATTTTTAAGTTATTATTGAGCTTTTCCCAAAAAGGTCGAAAAATAAAAATAATCTAGCATTCTTGTCCAGAAGGTCCTGGGATCAAAGGAACATTGATAACTTTATTCTAGGACAATATTTTGCCCCGGACTTTTATAACATTGAAAAAAAAAAAAATTAGGTAAAACTTGACATTTAAGATCAATTTAAACTTAAGATGAAAAGATAAATAACAAAAAAAAATTTTATGTTTTGATTGAGGACCAAGTCTGGTATTTAAAAAAAAAATAGCATAATTCACATAATTACATAATTTATTTACTTTCTTCAAATTCTGAATTACAAAAGCTTTAAGAAATTCAAACAAACTTTAAAATTACAATTTAAATAAATAAAAGATTATAGACAATAACAATAAATGTTGTGTATCTGCATAGCAATTGGATCTAAACAATATTTTTTTCCTCATCCGTGCAGCTTCTACAGAAATCGTTATGCGGGGCCTCGAGCCTGGCGGCCATGTGGCCAATGGTCCAATGTCCCGTTCGTATTCCTGTGAGAAGCCTAACGTTTGGCTTTGAAAGCCTTAATAGACTCTTTATTCTTCGTGATACCCTGCAGGTGTACAGACTTTCCCACCTACTGTTGGTAGTTACCCTCTCTCTCAACTTGTGATGACACAAATCGTAGGGGACAATTTAAAACCTCCGAGTTTATTTCTGCCATGAAAAACAGCTCATAATAATAC